GCCACTGAGAAGCCCTGGTATTTCTCACCCCACCTCTCCTGCTGGTCCAGAAGAATATGAGAGCTCTGCAGGTCCTGGGTCATTTTTTGTCAGCTCAGTGTTTGTGTCTCAAGCCATTTCTAACAGCACTGAATGCAAAGCTGCAAACTCAAATACTTAGATTTCACAGAACGTTGTCTGCTTACATTTTAGTATTTAGCCTCTACTTAGCTTCTAGTTTGCTGTTTCCATTTCACACCGGAGAAGGAAGGGGGTGCCTCAGAAGCACCCATTTTCCACAACAATGTCACTTCATCTAGTAGAGGATTAAATTCCCCGTAAGCCTTGCCCCTTTGTTTTCCTTGGCAGCAGCACAATGTCATCTTGTGACAGCTCTTTCTAGCTCAAACCCTTATCTAGCTGCTTCTGTAGGAACGAAAATAAAATTAAAAAAAAGAAAAAATAACTAATATTTGGGTAGGAGCAAGTGGGAAAACATGAAAGAAACTCAGAGGAAGGCAGAGTAGGACACATGAGTTTTAAGAGGGCGGCACCCTTGATAAATCCCGTATTGGTTTTGCTGGGCAGGATTGGACCTGGGGAAGGGGGTAGCAGACAAATAATAAAATTACTCTTTTCTCCCTCAATTTCTCTCTCCATCTTTCCCCTCTCTCCTTCCACCCACCTTCCCCGCAACACCCCACCCCTCCCCCCACCCCCACCCCCCTTCATAATGTAGCTTCAAAGAAAAACTATTTGCTCCTTTGGTAATAACTGATGGAGACCGTGAATTACCGCGCTAGCACCCAGCCTGGTGTTTATCTCCTGGCCAATAAATCCCTAAACTGAAGCAATGAAGCCAAGTACTGCTGCTATTTCTGCGTTTTATTTCCATATTAATCACAACACAAGCGCAACCAGCTCCTGCCCGCCCCGCCTCCCCGCTTCCCCTGCCCGTGTAGCCGAAGAGGCGCCCGTGAGAGGACCGCCTGGGTAGGACTTGCCAATGGGAAGGGACCAGGGAGATGCGGGGAGAAACACAACTGAGGAGGCAGACCCCTGGAGAGGCGGGCAGCGGGATGAGCCTCAAGGGGAACTGGGAAACACTGAGAAGTGGGAGGGAAGCTGCTTTCCCCTGGGACGGAGAGCAGCACCTGCCATCCCCACGGGAGGGTCGGGCCTGGCCGGAAGCAAGTGTATCCGCAGCTGAAAACCAGCCGGGTCCATTCACTTCGGATACCTTTGTATTTCCATTTCTAATTCTGTTATTTATATTTATATCTATATCTATATTTATATTTTATTTCTGTGTGTACGCGCATATATTTTATATATGTTCAAGCAGATATTACTCATTTTTGAGGCGAAAATAAACGGATTTCCTGAGAGCGCCAAGCTCCCGTCTGTCCCGAGAGAGGCAGCCCGTACCATGCCGTGCAGAGCCCTGTCCTGGTCCCGCACTCTCGCTGCGTCCTGCCCGCCACTTCGGGCAAGGATGAACCCAGGGGGCAAGCAGTGCCAGACTCTGCTACCATTGGATCTTTCCCGCTTTCCTATTTCTATCTCCATATCCCCTTCCCCCGCCCCCCCCCCCCCGTCTCAATTTTATTATTATTATTTTAATTTTAATTATTTATATATATATATATTTATTTGCCGGCTTTTTTTGTGGAGGGAAACCCTCCCAAAGAAAACTCCACCGTTCCTCCTTCTCTCCCCATGGGCATCTTCTCCAGAAGCTGGTTTTCTTTTTCTGGAGGGGAAAGGAAAGGAGAGGAAAGGAAAGGAGAAAGGAAAGGGAAAGGGAAAGGGAAAGGGAAAGGAAAGGAAAGGAAAGGAAAGGAAAGGAAAGGAAAGGAAAGGAAAGGAAAGGAAAGGAAAGGAAAGGAAAGGAAAGGAAAGGAAAGGAAAGGAAAGGAAAGGAAAGGAAAGGAAAGGAAAGGAAAGGAAAGGAAAGGAAAGAAGTAAGGGGACTGTCACTCCTGCTGCACTGGTGCAGGAGCCCGAGGCCAGGAACAGGACACGAAGAGACTTGAATTTCTGTTGATCTGACTGTAGTCTCCTCCTCGGCAGGGAGCAGGCTAGCAGACCTCTCCAAGCGCCTCCCTGGCGCAGCATCGCATTTCCAAGTCGCCCGGCGTTTCCCTACCCGACCGATCGGAAAGGAGAAGGAAAGAAAAAGCATCTCTGAGGGTGCTCTTTCCCTTTCCCTCACCACAGGCCAGTAAGGCGAGAAGCCGGGCCTTTCTCTCGCCCCGCTAGGGGCACGGTGCCGCTAGGGAGGACCAGGGGGGACGGGACATTTATCGGCTCTTTTCTGGTGACTCAAACCCGCGGCTCAGCCTCCTGAGGCTGTTCGGTTCTAAGCGGCTTGTGCACTGCTCCACAGCCTCGCTTCTCGGCTGCAGAAGAGCCCGGGGATCCCGAAGAAAGCGGGACAGAGGCCGGGGAGGCTGCGGGTGGGAATCAAATGCCCCTGAAGAGACCTTTTGCTCAGACAACGCGTCTCCCGTCAATAGGAGGAAGGAGGGGCGAGCGGCAGGGATGCTCTGGGGAGAGGCGGGTCCCGGGCACCTGGCTGCCGGTCCGAAGCGCTGCCCCGGGACTGAGGAGTGGCTTCGCCCTTCTCTCTACTGTAATTTACAGTCCAGTCCCGTCGCCCCGAGCCGGGAGGACGATGAAGGGCTGGGGAGGAAGATGCTGCATCGGAGGAGGGCCACGGCTCTGCGCTCCAGCCGTGTCAGTCCTGTACTAAAGCGTGCTCCGGAGGGGTAGGGCCGGCTGCCCCGAGGGCAACTTGCGCCCCGCAGCTCTCCCCCACTCCCCGAGAGCAGCCCCTCACAGACTGCACCCGTCACACCTGGTCTGCTCCCCCTCCCCAGGCCGGCCCCCTCCCTCTGCTCAGCGGCGCGGCATGCGCTGAAGAGGGGGGATCGTGAGAGTGGTCACTTCAGTGACTTGGGCAGAGGGGAAAACCCTCATAGAAGGCGGAGGGATAATAGTGCAAAACTAAAAGGACGGAAAGGGAAAGGAAAAGGGGTGAAGCCGGGAAGGAAGAAAGGAAGAAAAGAGGGAAGGAGGGAAAGGAGGGAAAGAAGGAGGGAAGGGAGGAGGGAAGAGGGAAAGGGAGGAAGGGAAGGGAGGAAGGAAGGAAGGAAGGGAGGAGGGAAGGGAGGGAGGGAGGGAGGGAGGGAGGGAGGAGGAACTGCAGCATCTCTTGACCATTGACCATCTTGTTGAAGTACTGGAACGATTGACTTCAGCCTCGGAGTGTTTTTTTTACTGCGTGATTTGTCAGTTCAGCCTGTTTTCGGAACACATATGCATCCTCCTTCTCACTTTCAAATGTTCGTGTGTGTGTGCTTATGTCTTAACGATGGCGGTTGCTGCAGCATTGCACAGCCCAGCACAGATCACCCAAAGGTGTCTTTAAGAAGTTATTTCGCTTTAAACACACATATTCCCCCGCTTTCGCGTCACTGCTCACCTTGCGACTCGGGGAAAATCGCCTTCTCCGTGTTAGTTCAGGTCACTTCAGAGGAGGGCCGGGGGTGCCTGTCCCGGGGAGTGCAGGACCCGGCTCCCGGGTAAGAAGCCGCCGGCTGCGCTCCCCGAGGCTCCCGCTCCTCTGCCCGCTCCTTCACCGCGCTGCTCCACCGAGCATCGCCTCCCGGCGCGCCCAGCCTTGGACAGTTTACCATTTCCCTCCCGGAAAAGGGCTGACAGCTGGATGTCCAGGAAAAATGAGAGTCCGGCTGGGCCAGGAAAGTCCTGGCAAAACCCAGAGCGATCCAGCGCTTTTCCTCAGCTCCCCGTCCAGACAAAGGCGAAACAGGCAGCTTGTCATTCATTTTTTAATTTTATTTGGAAATCTCATCCAGAAACACTGGTCAATAATAAATATATCGATAGTTATCAAGAATATATAAAAAATAAAGACATGGTGTTGTCTTCGAAGCCCTATCCAGAACCAAACGAACAGACGAAGCGAATAATGACAACAGTATTTCAAACAAGCGCCCAGGAAAACGTGCCGAAAGGGGAATAAACAGCAACAAAGCTTCCGATTTAGTTATACAAGTCACTGACCGATGCCCCCACATGCAAAATCAAAGCAAATCAAAGCAAAAGAAAACCAAAGCGGCAAAACGGAACAAACCCAAAGCCACAGAGAGAAAATAAGCGACGAGGACCCCAGCCAACTGAACTAGTACAGGAGAGACGGGAGATTTGGCAGCACAGTCCCGGCGGGAGGGTTGAGATGTGTTTTGCACCCTTCCCTCTCCTTTCTTATTTTTTCATTTTTCTTTCTTTCTTTTTTTTTTTTTTTGTCGAACACAGAGGGAAGGAGAAAAGAAGAATCGTGACCAAAACGGCGTCACAACCAAAGGGGGGGGGGGGGGGGGGGGAGGGAGGAGGAAGAGGAGGGGAGAGAAAAAGAAAGAGAAAAGAAATTAAAAAAAAAAGCAGCACAACCCCACACCCACAAAACTTGAGTGGATTCACTCGGAAGTCCCTGTTGCCAGGGCAGCCCCTGCGGGTGGGAAGCTGCGGTGCGAAGCCCTGGCTGGGCCACCCCCTCGGGCCGCACCGCAGCCGGGCTGGGAGAGGGAGCTTCCAGAAGAAAGAAAGGACAAGCCAGCAAAAAGAAGGAGAAGAAGACCCAGACCGATCCCATCGTCTCTCAGTAGCTGCGAACGCTACAGTGACAACCATGCCTTTTTTTTTTTTTTCCCTTTTGCATCCATTTTAAGGAATTATTTACATTTGATCACCATCAGCGGCATCATCGTTATTATTATTAATATTAATATTATTATTATTCTTTTTACAACAGGGACTTTTTGTTTTGTTTCTTTCCGGTTTAGTATAATAAGAAAACACCGCCCGAGGAGCCGGCTAAAACATTACCTTTGCAGGGTCCTTACTACGCTAATCCCGTGTTATCGAGGGGGGACAGGGCAGAGGGGCAGCGGGGCCAGTTCCGTCCTCAGGCCCCCCCCCCCCCCCCCCCCCCCCCCCCGCCCTTTGCCCGTGGAAGCCCCGGCTCGAGCGCAGCCCGGGTGGCCGGAGGATCCCCGCCGAGTCACTTCAGGAGGTCCTTGGTCTCCCCCGAGATCCTGGCCATGTTGGAGGCGGTGAGGGCAGAGAGGTGGGGCGGGGGGGGCATCTGGCAGATGGTGCAGGGGCACGGCAAGCCCGCCCAGTGCTGGAAGCCGCTGCCGAGCTGAAGGGCGGGGGGGGTCGAGGGGGTCTTGAGCAAGGAGTGGGGGGGCCGGATGGTGCCGATGGCCGGCAGGGAGGCGGAAAGGGAGGAGGAGGTGTTGGCGGAGGACAAGGCACTGCCGAGTATGGGGTGCACCTGGTGCACCGGGCCAGCGGCGTGGGGTGGGTGCCCGGCGGAGTGTCCCACCGTGCCACAGTGGAAGGCCGAGTGGTGCCCCCCGTAGATTTCCCCCACCAGCCTCTTCATCTCCTCCAGGGAGCTGGTGAGCATCAGGATATAGTTTCTGGCTAGCAGGAGGGTGGCGATTTTGGAGAGTTTTCTCACAGAAGGGCCGTGCGCGTAGGGCATCACCTCCCGCAGCCCGTCCATAGCGAGGTTGAGGTCGTGCATCCTCTTACGCTCCCGGCCGTTGATCTTCAGCCGCAGCTGCTGCAGGTCCTGCTCCGAGAGCTGTTTCTTGATTTTGTACTTGCTGCCTTCCCCTCCTGCCTTGGAGCCGTTCCTGGAGAGGCCTTCCCCGGACATCTTCTGCACCAGGTCGTTCTGGGTGGAGGAGACGGAGTTGAGGCGGCTGTCCTGGTGGTGGTGATGGTGGTGGTGGTGGTGGTGGTCTCTCAGGTACATCTCATCCATGTCTGGCGAGGAAGCTCTGCTGGAGACAGAGCTGGAGTCAGAATTCATTGTATTCGGGTTTCTGAGCAAGAAACTCTTCCCTGCTCTGGAGGTGGTGGAACAAGACGGCTCTCCTTTGAAAAGCAACGAAAACGGAACGAAAAAGAAAGAAACAGACGGCAGGGTCTGCCAGCGAAGGGCTGGAAATGCCGGAGGAAGAGGAAAAAAGCCCCTCAGCCCCCTCTCTCACCCGTCTCTCCCCTCTCTCTCTCTCCCCCCGGTACTCTGCCTGTTTACAGGATGGCTAGTTAGTGTATGCTTGGACTAACCTCAGCCTGAAAAAGAGGGGCTTTTATAGAGCTGCAGCAGAGAGCAGAGACAAAAGGAGCCCTCCTATGTATAATGGTCTAGTTAGGATGACGTGCCATTATTCAGGGCGGTGCGCTTTGACTGTCCCATTTAGCAAGGACCCCTATTCATATTCATTGTGGTGCCACCCGGGACACCTCAGCCACGGACCATCAGGAGTCAAGGAGACACAAAACCTCTCTGATTGACACCGCACACTCATCGCTCCGTGTGCGCGCCACCTCCTCCCCCTGCCCCTCATTTCCAATATAAAACCGCATCCCGTCTACAGTAGGGAGGCGAGGGGCTGCGGCAGGCAGAGGCCGCCAGGGGAAGTGCCCCCGCTCCTGCGGGAGGGGCCGGGGGGGGGGCGTCGGTCCCCCCCGTCCTGCAGCGCCCCCGGCTCCAGGCGCGGCTCCCCGCTTTGTTTGCCATTACCTTCCCCTGCCCCGGCCCCCCACCCCCGGCCGCGGTTTATGATGCGGCGCCGGCTGCCCCTTGCCCGGCCGGGCCGGCCGCGGTTGACTCGTACCTGGGCCACCGCCGCTTTGTTTAAAGGAGCGATCGCTTGGGCGGCCTCCGCAAGAAAACGCGCCCTGGGAAACCAGCCTCCCCCCGGGGCAGACTGCCTTTAAACAAACAGGGACAGCCGGCGTACAAGTCGGTGTTCTGGGCGGCGGAGGGGCAGCAGCCCCAGGGGCTCCGACGGGAGGGCGGCGCTCCGGGGAGGAAGGAGCAGCCGTCGGTGGGCCCGGGAGGCTGCGTTCAAAGTCGGACCGGGCCGGACGCAGGCGGGAAGGGGGGACAGTGCTGCAAAACAAGTCCTAGGCGTTCGCGCCAGTAAGTAACCGTCCGCGGGCAGCGGCTGCAGCCTGTGCGGGACCTTCTCCTGTCGGCGGTGGAGTGGGCAAGGGAGGGGTGCGTGGGGCTGCGCTGGTCGGAGCTCAGCCGGACAGGGCTGGCGGGGCACCGGGGGCAGGTGTCACCGCCCCAACTATCGGCCGTGCTGAGCGTTCGCCAGCGCTGCCCCTGCCCAGGGGGCGGGAGGAGCCGGCGCGGCAGCTGCGGGGTCTGCTGGGGTGGGGGGTGAGGATCCCCCCGCAGCCGGCCTCAGCCGGACCCGTATACGGGTCTTACACCGTGTGGATCTTCACAGCCCCCGGTGGTGTCTATGCGATGAGTGCGGGGCTGCCAGGGCCGGGTCGGGGAGCGCCAGCGCCCGGCTGTTCCCGCCCCGTCCCGGCTGGTGTCGGGGTGAGTTTCTACCTGCCAGCAAGCACATAGGGCCAGGAAGAAACCTCCTTGGCAGAACCTCTCTCCTCCATAGAGTCTCCAGCCCCGAAGAGAGCGAGGGGCCAGGAAAAGAGGGACATTTTCATCCGGCTGAGTATAACTGTGCTTAATCTGCTGAGCAAAATTAAAGCCTTCTGGTTTCAGCACTGTTAGTGATTCCTGCGGTGAGAAGAAAAGAGAAAAAAGAAAAAAAAAAATAGAAGAGAAAGATTTAGGAGAATATATCAGAAATAACTGAACGTTACCTCGCCTTTATCCCCCTTTCTCCGCGAAAGCCATAAACCCACCCAGACATTCCCCCCAGCTGAGAGCTTTGCCGGACAAACAGGCAGAAACTTGGCCGGGCCCAGAGTCCCCAGAGCACCCCGCGGGGAGTCGCGGGCGGTCTCCTGTGCCCGCGGGGACACTCTCCGGGGCGTCCGGGGTTGCCCTTCCCTCTCGTGGAGCCGGGATGAAGCAAGTGAGCAAAACTTGGCACGGTGACGGCGGCGGCAGGAAAACTCACGGAATGGGGGGAGGACTAACTGGAACAGGGAAGAGGAAGGCGAAAAGGCGCCGTCGGGGGAAGCAACAGGAGAGGTCCCGTCCTCCCCTCCGGGCCTGGAGCTTCATCTAATGGGGCTTCATCGCAGTGTACCGGAGCTGCCGGTGCACCGCGGGACGAGGAGGGCCGAGCGCCGGGACGGGAAAGAAAGGTCGGGTCGTCACTCGGAGGAATATTACGAGTATTTCTTCTCTTCTCCTTCCCGGCGATGTCGCTGCTCCCCAAGGCTCCCATCTCGGCTGGGCGGGCCCGTCCCACCTGCGGGCCGCAGCATCTCCTTCCCGGGGCAGGGCCGGAGTTGCCTTAGGGCAAAGGGAGAATTTGGGGAAGTAACGTGAGGTTAAAACCCGGGCTCAGGGACCGTCGCCGGGGAAGTCGTTTCGGAAAAGGGCAGCATTGCTTCAGCGCTGTTGCTGCTGGTAACGATGCCTGGTCCAACCTCCCGCGCTGATGTCCTCTGCCGCTATTATTTTGCTGATGCTGGAGAGAGATAGGAGCTGGGAGAGGGAAAGAAAGAAAAAAGGAAGGAAAAAAAGAAAGAAGAAAGAGAAAATGAGAAAGGAGGGGGAAAAGGGAAAAAAAAAAAGAAAAATAAAGAAATACTGAGAAAGAAGGAAAAAGTGAAAGCTCTCAGCGCAGCAGAGCATAGGAAGAACAAACGCAGGGGCACTTGCTGGACGAGTTCGTCCGAACGGAGCCTTCCCGTCCCCTCGGCAGGCGTTCCCGGCGGATTGGGGTCGTGGTGCCATGGCACGGGCTGGCTGGGCTCGCCGCTGCCGTCCCGTTCCGCCTGGGCCAGTGCTTGGCACTGTCCCGACCAGGGGCATTTCGGAGGGGAACGCGTAGAAGCTCGGTGTGTGCCGCTGTCCCGGGGCAGTCAACGGCAAAACTCTTCCCTCCCAGACGCCGGTAGCAACGAACTTAACCTCCGGGAGCTAGGAACGCCAGTTTTGCCTAGTCGGAGAAGGGCGAAAATGGGAGCTGCGTGGGAGCTGCGCCAAATTCACACGCACTCCCCTGACTTTTAATTCTTGTTCTCATTAAGGCAGGGAGAGTTGGCGTGGGAGGGAGGGAAACGTGCTTTTTCTGGAAAGAGAAGCTGCTGGGGGGCCGGCACTCTGAGTACCGAAGAGAGACGAATCCCCTGTCCGGCAGCGAGCCCGCCCGGCACCGGCGAGCCGGCAGGAGCCGCGACCTGTCAGTAACGCGGGGGACAGGGGCAGCGGGGCGGCTGGCCCCGGGGAGGCTCACCGGGCACGTCTAGGGGTTTAGAGGCTGTCCGAAACGGAAACTGGGCGCTTTCAAACATCGGATTTTAATTTGTGGGTGCGTTTGAAGGCGTGCCTGAGTTTGGATTCTCGTAGTTTGGTACGGAAATCGGATATACTTTTTTGCTGCGTAGCGTTAGTGTGAAAGAATATTAAATCTCGCTCTTCCCATGACTTTATTGACCTGGTCGGCAACACAGAATCTGCTTCATTACATGAAGACTGGTCAAATCAGTATTACGGGGGGCGGGTGTGTGTGTGTCAGTTTTAGTAGAAGGCTGTTAACTTTTATGGTGTGTGGCTATTAGGCTTTGCCATCTCTGCTTTTTATTTAAATTCGGGACATTTGACAGCCGTTCTTTCAGCATAAAACAAGTTATAACCGTTAGCACCATAACAAGGTACTTGTCGATGCCTTTGAAGACCCGCAGACGATCGCGTCTCAGGACAACCCTCGGCCAGCCGCCGTCGCGACGGGCGCTGCCGGGACCAGGTTGTGCGATGCTGCGCGAAGTGCTGGCGCTGAATTACGGTAGTTTCTAAACGGCGTTCGTTTTCTTTTAGAGATTACAACCGATATCCCCTAACCGTAAACTGGTTTTGCTCAAAATATATTGCCAGATTCCATTTAGATTGACGGTATAATTCAGATTGATAGTTTCTCACCATCTGACACTTTGATTCAGCGAAGTGAACAGGCTGAAAGACTGTTTTAGCTCTTGCGTTTATCCCAGATTCGCTTTCCAGAAGTAGGGCGATAGGAGGGCAACGATCGGAAAGGGATGAGAACGCTGTCCCAGGCTGCTGTAATCAGATTCCGCAGTCGGGTACACCCGGAGACAATTTTCCTCTGCCTGCATACAGGAAATTTCCATTCCGGTATTTTCAAATTCGTTGGCAACAAGGGGTCAGAACAAAACTCCTCCTGGTTATTTAGTATGAATGTGGAGCCCTTACTCAGACCTTTAAAGCATCCTGCAGATGACAACAGGATCGGGTCCAGATCAGGCAGTGGTTCTGGGAAGAGTTTAACTTTAAAGAAAACAACTGATGAACATTCCAGGGCAGATAATTAAGGACGGCGTTTTATTTCCTGTATTTAAATACTGATTTGCAAAACTTCTGGGAAAAATATGGCATAAAAGCTTAGTAATAAAATTTAAAATGTCAAAGACTAATTAATTAGAGATGTGCAATTGCTGATCCTCTGATATATGACATTTGCTACCAAAAGCCTGAAATTAGTTTCCGTAAACAATAAAACTCACTTAATCAACAGTTTGCACTTAATTCCTTTTTTTTTTTTTAAACCTGTTGTGAATGCATCTGAAACCTGCATTTTATTTGGAGAAAAGATTATAACAAATCGGTTTGAATGTTTCTAAAGCTGTCAGATGTGTCATGGTATTGGTCAACAGTGAAATATTTTGCTGTCTCTGGAATTTACAAAAACACCCCAAACAAGTAATGAATATTGTTGAATATGTATCCGTTAAATAGTTTATTTTTAGATGCTTAGCAGAACTTGCACTACCTCCAAAATTCAGCTCCAGAGCTGAGACTGGGATGCACATTTCCCCCATGCAGAGCTCAGACAGTGGTGCACACTTCACACACACAGAACGGGGCTAAACCTGGCATTCCTGGCAAACAAACTTGCCGCATACTTGGGAATCACTGCTAGCTTATCACTGCGCTAAAGGATAACAAGGTTTCTCAAAGGCCTGTATTTATTTTCTCTTCTTCCTTTATGTTTTGGGCCCATACCCTCACCTAAATTGTTAATGTTCTCAAATGGGCAAGTTTTCTTTGTCTGTCTTTCTGGCTTTGCACATCACTTGCATGTTTTGCACTCTCATTACTGCAAACTTTCTCCATCTTCTACACATGATACTGAAACTCAACCATTGACTTCTAGGAACCCTCTCCCTCACTACCTTATTAGGTAGCTGACAGTTACTGCATTAGTCTTGAAGTTATGTAGGCTGTTTAAATATCAGCTATAAAAAAGAATGCAAGATGCATTTTGAGAGAGTGCATGAGAGGTCTCCCTTGCTCCCCCCAAATCCTCCCCATCAGATGAGCTGCTCTTTAGTAAGCTTCTCAAATGTTCAAAGTTACCTTAGGTCACAGTGAAAACACTGGTGTTTTAACAACTAAAGACTGAAATGTTTTGCAGTCTCAGAAACAAATAAGTTTAATGCAATTTATTTTTCATAGTTATAGTGAAAGCAAATAAAGCCATAGAAATTACTGAATAACTCTTCCACTACACATTCAAAAGCATGGAAGACCCACTACAGAGAGAAAAAAAAAAATCCTTGTCTCATTTTGCATTCCAATTTTAAACAATGTATGTCTCAAGCGAATATTTATGGGTTGTTAATGGGCTAGTAGAAATTCTAGAAGACACAACAAAAATTATCTGCAGTCTATTCACAAACCTTTGCCATGTCTCAGTGTTCGGGGATGGGCAAATGGACTGTCTTCACCACCCTTGAATAGAACTCTATTGTGTGGGCTTGTTCCATTAGGATCAATGGGACGACATGTACAATGAGATGCTAATGAACACCAGAAACGGTAAAATCTGGCCTGGCTAAGGCATAAGCATGATTTTTTAAATCGCTTCTGAGTCTCTTGCTATACTCCTTTTAGCTGAGCTGTTCAACTTCAAATGTTCAGGGAGGCTTTACTATATAAAATAGGGTGG